CTTTTACCAACACATCGGGCTGCACCGCTTCTATGAGAGACAAAGGAGTTTCTTCATCAAACAAACAAACCGCATCTATCACCATTAAAGAAGCAAGCTGGAACAAGCGATCATTTTCATTGGTCAATGGGCGCTGCTCCCCTTTCAAAGCTTTGACAGAGGCATCGGTATTTACGCCCACTACCAGAATATTGCCCTGATCGGCAGCCTTTGCCAGGTAGTCCAGGTGACCGTGATGCAGGATATCAAAACAACCATTGGTGAATACGATCTTACGCCCGGACATACGCCAGCCATGAGCTTTGCGGACCAGGCATTCGCGGTTATATATCTTCTGTTGTATCCACTGCTCTTTGTGCATGTTGTCTGTTTCTATTATAAATCGGTAAAAGAATAAGCGCAATAATCCCCAATATGATCAACACCGCTGTTTGTGCCGCCCAGGCAACCCAGCCAAAAGCGATGCCCTGTTGCAGGTTGATACCATATAGTTCCAGAATGGCCGCTACGATCGGTGGATAAGCAGCGATGCCACCTGGTGTAATGATCATACCTATGGAGCCAAACGCCAGTACGGTTAGCCCGGCTAGCGGACCAAGATGTTCTGTAGCCGGCATACAGGCAAAACCCAGCAGCAACATACCCAGGTAACTGCCCCAGATACCTACGGTGTATAATAAGAACAGGCCCCGGCGCTTCAACAGCATGATAGACCGTACACCATCCGTAATGCCTTTGATAATATGCCCGATTTTGGTTTTTTTAATGCGTTTGTACAACAGGGCTACAGCCAATATGATCACCACCAGACCTATAGCCGCAAATAGTAAAACATTGCCTTTGGCAGCCCTTAATTTTTCAAACTCTTCCATCGCAAAATCACCGATGATGCCAAACTGCAACCCCACACTAAACAGGATGATCACCAGCAGGCAGACCACATCAAATGCCCGCTCTGCAACAATCGTCCCCACCATCTTATCTGCCGGCACACGTTCATACTTGGCTAGTACGGTACACTTGGCCACTTCGCCAAAGCGAGGCAGGAAAGAGTTAACCAGGTAACCGATCATAACCGCGAAAAAGGTATTGGCCCGAGTTGGGT